GGCTGAACTGAAGGCTGTGGTGGGGTCCAGGGGCTGCAGAGCAGGGGCTTTCACCAGCCTTAGCAGCAGCATATCCCTGTCCCACCAGGTCTGGCGTGTGGAGAACGGGGAGCTGGCACCTGTGGACAAGAGGTGGCTGGGCCATTTTTACGGCGGGGACTGCTACCTGGTGCTCTACACCTATTACGTGGGGCCCAAGGTGAACCGCATCATCTACATCTGGCAGGTGAGTCTTCCAGGTCGCCGACCCAGGGGTGGGGGACAGGAGTACCTCCCTGAACCAGAGGCTGCTCTCCTCTGTGCATGACCCCATGGGAAGCTCTTCCCAAGAGGGAAAAGGGGGCCGTGGTGGGTGCTGAGTCCCCCGCTCTGCCTTGCCCAGGGCCGCCAAGCCACCCCAGACGAGCTGGCCGCCTCCGCCTACCAAGCTGTCTTCCTGGACCAGAAGTATAACAACGAGCCCGTGCAGGTTCGCGTCACCATGGGCAAGGAGCCGGCCCACCTGATGGCCATCTTCAAGGGCAAGATGGTGGTGTATGCGGTGAGCACGGGGCAGCCGGGGCACGGGGAGTGGGCAGCTGGGTGGGCCTGCAGCACTGGTGGTGACTGCTTGTTCCCGTCCTCCCAGGGTGGCACCTCCCGGGAGGGCAGCAAGGAGCCCACCCCTTCCACCCGCCTCTTCCACGTGCATGGCACCAACGAGTACAACACCAAGGCCTTCGAGGTGCCCGTCCGCGCCTCCTCCCTCAACTCCAATGACGTCTTTGTGCTCAAGACCCCCAGTTGCTGCTACCTCTGGTATGGGAAGGTGGGTACTGCTGGGCACTGGGGTGGGTGCTGCCACCCCAAGAGAAATGTCCCTACCTCCTCTTCCTCCTCCTCCTCATCTGGGACTGGTGACAGAGCAGCTGTGCTTTCTCGATAGGGCTGCAGTGGGGACGAACGGGAGATGGGCAAGACGGTGGCTGACATCATCTCCAAGACAGAGAAGCTAGCGGTCGCAGAGGGACAGGAGCCATCTGAGTTCTGGCTGGCCCTGGGGGGCAAGTCCCAGTATGCCAACAGCAAGAGGTAGGAGCACCGTGCCTGGGGGGGTCCCTTGACCCTCCTCCTGCTGGGGGTGAGACGACCTACCAGTCTCCAAGCAGGGTGAGCCCTGTTCCCACCACCACTGCCACATTGCCCCTCATCAGGCTCCAGGAGGAGAATCCCTCTGTGTCCCCCCGACTCTTTGAGTGCTCCAACAAGACAGGAACCTTCTTGGCCACTGAGATCATAGACTTCACCCAGGATGACTTGGAGGAGGATGATGTTTACTTGCTGGACACCTGGGACCAGGTGAGCTGGGGCGGTACAGGGCTGAGGGACACACCTTTGACTCCATGAGCTAACGTCCCCATGGGGGTGGTGGAGAATCTGCAGCAGCCAGAAGTGAAGGGATGGGAGGCTGGAAATCCTCATGTCCCTGGGCCCACACTGTTTCTTTCCAGCGTCCTTGCTCCAGTGATGCCCTTCCCTGTGGTCAGATGCTGCGTGTCCTCGACCGTGCGTCGGGCACAGCTCCAAAAGGCCTCATCTCACCCCAGTGGTGGACATGGTGACCTCGTTGCAGGTTTTCTTCTGGATTGGGAAAGGTGCCAACGAGTCAGAGAAGGAGGCGGCAGCAGTGATGGCACAGGAGTACCTGCGGAGCCACCCCAGCGGGCGTGACCTCGACACTCCCATCATCGTGGTGAAGCAGGGCTATGAGCCTCCCACCTTCACCGGCTGGTTCCTGGCCTGGGACCCTCTTAACTGGGCCGTGAGTTATGGAGGGAGCTGGAAAGACCAAAGGGGGGACCCCTTTGCAAGGTGGGACCAGATGTGGATCTGGCCCCAGCCAGCACCTGGGGACCATGGGCAGCGGTTTGCCTGATCCCTGCCTGGGCTGACGGGCTGAGAACTTCTGTCCCTCTCCCAGGACAAGAAGTCCTACGAGGAGCTGAAGGCCGAGCTGGGGGATGACAGCAGCATTGGGGAGCTCACCTCAGTAAGTGGCCCAGGGAGAGGGGGTGGCTGTGGTGGGAGGAGGCACAGAAAGCCCCTCTGCCCCCTTGGCAGATGGCAGGAAGAGCCACAAGGCCACGTCCTGGAGTGAGGGGGCAGCTGGAGGCAGCCTGGAGTCTCCATCCCTGGGGCAGCACCTGATGTGACCCTGTTTCCTTCTCCCTCCCCGCATCCAGGTGCTCACATCCACACAAGAGGTCTTCACTGCCACCACCACCCTCCTCCCCGACAAATTCGAGACCTTCCCACTTGATGTGCTGGTGAATACCTCGGCCGAGGACCTGCCGCGGGGCGTGGATCCCAGCAGGAAGGAGGTGAGATGAGACCAGGGGGACGCTGAGGAAGCTGGGGACTGGGGAAGTCCCCACCGGCTTACCCCACACCTC